ACAAGAGACTACTTCATAGAATTCTGTGAAATTTTGTCTTTTTCATGAACAGATTATTTAATTGATCAATTCACTATTATATTTACATGATTGGTAAAAGTCAAAGATAATATTAATTTAAAAAAATTAAGTTTTCCCCTCACAACATTGAAGTAATGAAAACGCAGATCAGTTGCACTACCTTGGGGGAAACTAAAGTAATGACAAATGAAATTGCAGTCCTGAAGCCAGATTGATGAACAGGTTATGGTCTTGTAGCACAAAAGGCAACAGTCATCAAACAAAATAACAATTGCTGCAGGCAAACATAATCATTTATGCGCTTCAATGCACTTCTGTATATCTAGTTTTTATCTATCGTCAACTGATGTTGGATTGTTTCGTTCAATTCAATGAATGCGAAGTACAATTTTTTGTCATTGTTTTTCTGTTCTTGATTTCTGAGCAAATATGATCCTCAAAAAACCAAATGATTATGAATAAGTAAAAAGTAAACAGCTGGAAAATTTATTTTTGTTTGAATGCAATTCAGTGTTCTCCCTATAATTTTGATCAAGCATAGTGGCTAATTTGCATAATAATTAGCATATGATTAACATAATTTATTCATTATGTTTGTACATTTTAAAATTTGTTCGTAAACTGCTAATAGATTTGTACACCATATTACTTTTAATTTAGAATGAAAACACAAGTCATGGCTTAAATCAGTAAACAAGAAAATCAATATTATTATAAAGTAACTCTTCCGATATTTACCCTGTGTTAACTCGTCTGGAACCACATAGGCCATGGGACAACACATTATTACCCTGTGTTAACTCGTCTGGAACCACATAGGCCATGTGACAACACAATATTACCTTGTTTGAACTCGTCTGGAATCACATAGACCATGTGACAACATATTATTACCCTGTTTTAACTCGTCTGGAATCACATAGACCATGTGACAACATACAATGTATTATTACCCTGTGTTAACTCATTTGGAATCACATGGACCATGTGACAACATATTATTACCCTGTGTTAACTCGTTTGGAATCACGTAGGCCATGTGACAACACATTGTTACCCTGTGTTAACTCGCCTGGAATCACATAGGTAATTTTACAGGGATTAAAATGGATTCAAAAACAATTTACACTGCAGCACATGTTTTTTAGCTCCGCT